TGTTTTAAACTATTAAAAAAAATAAATTAATGTATTTCAACGCCCACCCTCACGGTAATATGTACTAACCCTGAACAAAAATAAACAAACAAAACGGCCGGAAATGACTTCCGAGTAGTCTCAGACGTAAAATAAAGTAATAACCGGGATAGCACATTATCTCCGAATGAACTGATCGTAATCACGAGCCGCTTCAGACATGGGAATGATGCTATTTAAATTCTCTTAAAATTTCTTGCGCACTATCTTGGGAGTATTTTCCTGTGTAGGAAAGTATTTGTTAGTAAATTTTCTTCTTGAATGTTTGCTTTTAGTTGTTTTGAAAATCGTTTGATGTGTGCTAACATAACGTGCTATGAACTCGCGCTGCCTTGTTAGATTTCCAATTTTATTAAATGACTCAAAAAGTTTGGATCTTTCTTCTTCGTTAAATAAATAACAATTTCGTGAATTCTTTTTGCAAACGTCGAAATTACAACTTTCCTTGAGTTGCCGTGCTGGTCTCTCATTTATTTGGCTAGTTTCTGTTTATTTACTTTTTTTCTTCTCATACAATTCTTCTTCTCTTCCTTCACATTCTATTAAAAAGTTTTCTGGTAGTGTTGCGTTTTTTAATGTATTGCCTTCGCCCATATTTTTACCAGTAATTTTTGATTTAGTTTTACGAGATGATTTATTGTTTGTTCGTAGTCTTTAAGTGGCTTTCACATTAATCCCCGTAAACTTGAAAATGAGAATCTAATTAGTGGGGGCTAATTGCCCCCACCGGAAAAGAAGTAGAATGCGTTTGTATATAAGAAAGATAAAGATAAGTTTGTCAACTGTCAATTTGTCCAATCTGACATGAGAATTATATTCAATGACCTTAAAAACCCAAACTCTCAATGTGAAAAGAGGATATTTACTTTTATATTCCTCGTTGACCGTGAATTGACAGCTGCCAACGGTCAATTTGTCCAATCTAACATGAGAATTGAATTCAGCGACCTCAAAAACCCAAACTCTCAATGTGAAAAGAGGATATTTACTTTTATATTCCTCGTTGACAGTGAATTGACAGCTTTCAACTGTCAATTTGTCCAATCTGACAAGAGAATTGAATTCAGCGACCTCAAAAACCCAAACTATCAATGTGAAAAGAGGATATTTACTTTTATATTCCTCGTTGACAGTGAATTGACAGCTGTCAACGGTCAATTTGTCCAATCTGACATGAGAATTTAATTCAGCGACCTCAAAGACCAAAACTCTCAATATGAAAAGAGGATATTTACTTTTATATTTTTCGTTGACAGTGAATTGACAGCTGTCAACGGTCAATTTGTCCAATCTCACATAAGGGTTGAATCCAGTGACCTCAAAAATATTACCCTATATATTAGAATAATTAAAATATGCTTTTGACATCTGTAAATAGTATTGAAAATGAATAGTTTTGCAACGGATCAGGGGAGCTTTGGCAGCTCCGTAGATGCCAAAATATTCATTTTGGCACTTTGTGTCCATGGAGACTTTTGTTCAGGATGAAAAAATCTACAACATATCAAAAATTTAGACAATTTGACCAATTTTCATAGATTATTGCGGGGTCCTTTAGTGAAATAAACTTATATTTTCGGAAGAAAGATTAATTGTTAATCTTATAGTTACAATTAACTGGGATTCAAACAGTAAAACTAAAAATAAAAAAAAAATTAAAAACTAAAAACGAATTAACTTTTAATTTAATGGTTCTCAATAAACTGATAAAATCACGTATATAAATCAAATTGAGGTCCGTCGCTACTGTGAGAAAATGCCATGTTCTCATTCATTCATAAATTCTTTAACGGATTTCGAACTTTTTATTTCACCTTCCTGTCTGGCAAAAACAAATTGGTATTGTTCAGATTATTATTATTATTATTTGCCGAATAACATTTACATCACCGATACAGGCCAGTTAAAGTATTTCTTTTGAAAGAAGGTAATGTAGTTTTTTTTTGTGAATTGTACAGAAGAAGCTATAAATTGAATATATTTGATTTTGGTTAGATGTAATGGTTTTTATCATAATTTTTAACAGCTTCCGGAAACACTTACCGTGGATATTCTTTGTTGGATATATATATACAGCATGTCCACTATTCAATTCTTGTAGTACCTAAGTAATTAACTATTTGTTTTATAGCAATAGGCAATAAAATAAAGTTTTTTTTTTATTTCTTATAAGGTAAATGTACCTAAATCAGACAGTTTTAGCGATTTTGGGGAAGTATTGGACGGTATTATATGGTTTTTTAAAAGTTTTGTCGAATTAAATATTATTTGCAACCTCAGTGATCTATATACCTACAGGTGAAAGGTAAAAATAAAGAAATTGACCAACCTTGGTTGGCACCATAAAATTAGCATTTTTCATTAACAATTACATTTGAAATTGAAAGTCATGACACATCATTTCAATATTATAATAATCGTATAGCGGATTTACCACCGCATTAATATTCTCCAGACGATTTTTTGATATGACATTGTATGTTAAATGGCTCAGTTTTGATTCTCTGAAATTCAGAATATGAGACAAAGAAAAAATGACAGACCTACATTGGCGAAAAAATTTTTATTGTTCTTTAAAATTTTCTCGTTCAGTCAGTAAATAGTTATTTTTACTTTCAACAATACCATTTGCAATAATTATTATTGTTGTAAATGTTGCTTTTATGGGTTAGCTGAGTATTTTATTGACTCGTATGTGGTTGTGGAATACAAATGAGAAAAGTTTTATACTGTTTGTCACAGAAACGGTCTTTCTTTTTAAATTACTTTTGAAACCTAACAAAATACAAAATACCATTTGTTTATTATAATCTGATCATTAGAAACAATGTAATATATGTAAAAAATGCAGAAATTAGTAAAAATATATCTATTATAAAGGAAAAATGAAGCCCAAGAATTTGTGAAAGAATTTGAAGCCTGTAAAAATATAAAAGTATCAAAATTACGTTGTGATAATGGTGGAGAATTTTTAAGTAAAGACTTTAAAATCTGGTGTAGATATAGAGGAATTATAATAAGTTACACAATTCCATATTTACCCAACTCAACGGAAAAGCAGAAAGTCTAAATCGTTCTCTTTTTTGACAAAGCCAGAGGAATTATTTTTGATAATCAAGTAGAAAAGGAGTTACGCGGAAAAGTCGTATATGTAGCAGCATTCTTATGTAATAGAAGCCCTTCAGAAATCACAGAAGTCACTTCAATTGAAAACTGGACAGGAAAAAACCAAATTTAAAAAATTTACAAATATTTGATTGCTGTGCATATGCTAAAGTATTAGCCCTATTAGGTAAATTAGGTCCAAAATTTACATATTATTCTAGGGCTCTCCAACATATTTTAGTCATATTTCAAATAATTATGGGCTCAGGAATGGTTTATCTGCACCCATGTCCTGGAGAGGTCTTCTTAAAAAAAATATATTTTCCAAACGGTGGACTAATTAGGACGTTTCAGGTCATGGAATACCTTAGAATGTCATGAAAAGAAAGAAAATAGCCTCTAAAAGTTTGTGCGAATTTTCCTTTAGAAGATAGATTTTCAATTTTTCGCGCCTTTATTTTGAGCACGTGCGCATGCTAATTTCTTTATTTTAACTCAAAATACCTTGAAAAATCTTCTTATTGGGTATTTGGGTCTGGAAAAGCCGAAAATTACCTCAACATTTTTCTAGGGCTTCTCAGTTTTCTAGTGGGGCCCCAAAATCGCTCTAAAACCCACTTTCGACCCAATATATCGTTTCACATTAAAAAAAATTATTTTCCAAACGGTCGACTAATTATGACATTTAGGTAAGATGTAAGGGAAATTCTAAAATAGTTTATCACCTAAACAGCTTTAAGATGGCAGTCAATGTTTCATTAAAACTATTACACGAAATACGAATGTTTTTATATTTGGATAATTAATATTCAAGGGTTGCGATATTATTAAAATGCAGACCGTTTCATTGTAATTTTCTACAAACTTATCGAACCGTGCCTACCTCATAAATGCAGAACATCAGCTGATAAAACGGTTGGCTGTGTATTAGATATTTTAAACTCTTCTCTAAACACAATACGTACCAGAATATTATTTTCTGTTCTGATTCTGCTGTAAAAGTATACGTGCGTAAAATTGCATTGAATTTTATTTTTTGCAAAATAATAATTAGGATTCTGATGCGATGTCTTCCTATAATAATTATCTATTGTGCAAAGAAATGGATACGTAAGCACAATATTAATATAAATCTATGAGAAGTACCAATCTGTATCGAAAGCGGATAATTCTAACGAAATCCTAATTTATTGCTAGATAGGTAAAGGTAATTGAAATTACAGGGTGTGTTAATATTAAATGGGCTGCTGTAAATCCACATGCTACAGTTGTACATACCTTTTTGATCAATGTTTGAATGAAATAATAAAAAGTCAACACCCTGTATCTCATAAACATATGTTTATAGGAGTTTTTCGTCGACGAATCACCTACAATAATATTTAAGATTACTTTGGTGTAATTATAAAGCTTTATTTCATTATGTATCTGTTTATTGTTAAAATATGTAAATATTTAGCCAGTGGCGTATAAACACTATTGAAAAATTAAATGGGGTATTATACTAGAACAAAATATTGAAGAAGGTGCGCCTTAAAACTGCAAAAGGTATCGTTATCATATCAAAATGCACTCTTCCAGTGTCGCAGAAATACTATATTGGCAAATTAAATGGGCATTTGTGAATATTACTAGATGAAAGTAGGTTGGTTATCTATTTTTGTTATAATAATTCATCAATGTTTATAATTGTATTTTGTTTCGCATATTTATAGGAGCTTTTTGTCTTAAAATTGAACGACGAATCACCTACAATAATATTTCAGATTACTTTGGTGTAGTTATAAAGCTTTATTTCATTATGTATCTGGGCCTTCTGAAACTATTTATTTAAAATAATATTTTATTGTTTTCAGATGACAATCCAAGCAGTACTACGCATTGTCCTTCGAGCTCCTGGCCTGAATATACGAATTCGTACGCACCCTACAGTCCGCAAACGAATTATTATGACCCACATCAAGATTCGGCACACGTCACACCCATACACCTTCCGACAGGTACATAAATAAATTTTAAATTAATTGTTGTTTATTTTATACTTTGTATTTAATTGCACTTGTGTCTGCATGCATGGATATTCATATTTTCGAGTTCATCCAAAGTGTATTTACCTCTGCAATAAAAATGTTTTGATTGGAGATTGTACATGTTTCGTATGTGGAATTAGCCGAATACGAATTAAATGTATTTTAAGAAATTTAAACGTTTCGAGGTCAAATTTATTTGAATAAAATTAGTTTCAAATTATATTATAATAAAAATAAGGCTGTATATCTGGATTACGATATCATTCAAAGCTCATTAATATTAAAATTATAAAGTTTTGCACCCTTATCAGTGTTTTACCCTCTGATGTAAGTACTGAATACATTCAAGTATATGCCTGCACTCAACCAAAGACTTTTTGGATCTGATCAATTGAAATAACAACATAGGACTTGATAAATCTACTTTTTTCACTTCAGGAGAGATAAAGTATTCATTTGAAACGTATCAAAATCATTTAAATTTACTTTTTATTAATTCAAATTTATCTGAAGCTGAAAAGTTTTTTTATCTCAAAACTTATTTAATTGAAGAACCTTTACAAATAGTCAATAAATTACTTGTAACAAATGATAATTTTAAAATTGCAATTGAATTGTTAGAAAAAAGATTTAATAAAAAAAAATGGTAAACAGTCACATTCGCCAGTTATTTAATGTAAAGTCAGTTGACAAATATAATTCGAACACAAATGACTATATAGAGAGAATCTATGCCTGATCACGGGTACGCTCAGACTATGCTCTTTGTAGTTGGTGTGAAAAGACGATTGGACGACTCTCTCTATTAAACAACCTAATCTAACGTAATCATTGTTCAAAACGACACATTTTATAAGACAGGGCCACTATCAACATAAATTGTTTATAATTATACAGTATTGTTTACTAAACAACAATTTGACTGGGTCGTATCTTCTTTCTTATAGGCGAACAAGCGAAACATACTTAGATTTGATTCAAAATCATGTTCCAAGAGTGCTAGAAAATGAAAATATAATTCCACCGCCATGTTTAAGAATAATTGTAAGAAATTTTTACTTTCTGACAATCCAAAATAATTATTTGAATGGTTGTAATTTTGAACTAATAATAGGTTTCTTTTTTTATTTATTGCCATAGACTTCTTGGCCATACACTACAAATAGAGAACCTGTTTTAGAGCCACAAATCTACTACCTATTCGTTGTGTTTCAACAGTTTGGCCTCTTTCTGATAATGTTCTTCCAGCTTTAACATATTGTTATGATATACCTCATTCAGGTTAGACTTCAATTGAGTTTTTTGAGCTGCTCTGGCGATGGTTAGCTTTGTAAATAATAAAATAAGAGTACCTTTTAAACTTATACTTTGTTTTGTTCTAGTTCTTCCAGATTCTTCCAGTTCTCAGGAATACATCCACACTTCTCTGACGTCACCGCCTCCCATCTTCAACAAGCCCGAATTGGACATGATGAGCTCGAGGTACTCATCAGACAACAACACCTACAACCCCAACAACTGGCCAGCCAGTCCTGCAGCCTACAACAACAACTATTACAACCATTCCTACAATCAACAGCAGTACTTGAACCATCCCCCGCCCTCTATGGTCGTCTATCCTACCCTCTACTCGACTGTGAATCAAAGCCAAATACATTTCCACCTTCACGCGCCTAGTGACAAGTTAGATCCCTACAAAAGTGAACCGTATATAAAAGGTGAACAGTACTTAACGGACAGCGCGAGTCTGACGAACCCTCAAAGGGTAGAAACTGGACAAAATAGTGAAGTGGTGCACGCACATGTCGATTCTTTGAGGCTCGACGAATCGGAAAGAACCGCACAATCTCAAAATGATCCTTCTGTTTGGAGGCCGTACTGATCTATTTTAAGTTTATTTATTATTGTAATATATGTTTAAGAAATGCGTTGTTGTTTTTATAACGAGGTTGAATATTTGTATCTACTGTAGAAGTTTCCCAACAAACAATAAATTGCCGGAATATTGCTGGCCTTTTAGTGTAATTGAAGGGAAAATGTATATGACGATTAAAAGATAAAAGCCTACTTTTGGTCTTTCGATAGTAGCCCAGCATTATGTTGCTTGATGATGGCCTTACGAAGGGTAAGTAACTGTATTGGGTAAAAGCAGGGTAAAAGTCCAAAGGCTTTTAACTGCCGCAGACCCAACTCCTACAGTCCAGGAGGGCTCCGTCCCGCGTTCATAGATGGAGACACCGATGGTCGCTTGTATTCATTGTATCTTTTACATTTTTTCAGTATTATTATATTATATAGCTGAATTAAATAAAATGTATACAATATTCTATATTAAAATGCCTTCTGTTTTGTATAGAATTTATAGTTCAAACGGTACTATACTGGTCAAAGAGGCACTATCGAATATCCTGTCTGATCATGTGCCTGACCCATGCCTTTATTAATATGGTAAAAGGCCAGCAATTTCCCGTTAATTAGCTTCCCATCAATAGGCCATTAATGAAGGTTATGATGGCAAAGTGACTTCGGCCGTAGTGACCTATATATGCCGGCCTATTAATTAAAAAAGCCAAATGGCCATGAATGTTATTAAAATTTATTTCGACAAAAGTTTCCATTATTGTGCTCATACAGTTTATCGCTTGTTCCTCGAAAAGCTAGAGAGCTCTCACCTAGCATTTTAACGACTGATATAATGTGTAAAAGAATTTCAGACCAGCGATTTATCTCAGAATCAATAAGTCTCTGAGAAACTGCATCTATTGTTTCACCTATTTTCAATCTTTGCTTCAATTCAAGCCATGATTTCAAACAATCTATATTAGTTTTAGAATTTTCATGATGTGCTAAAGAGTCCCCTAAATGCTTCCAGTTTTTAAATCCCCGATTGCCAAGCGCTCAAGCTAGATGGTGCAGCAAAAAGTCGACATGGAAAACAGTACAAAGCGATTTGAAATATGGAATATACCATCCATTCTCTTAAAACCTCTTCTCCATTTCTAAGCCTTTTCTTGTAATGTTTTGGTGAGAATCTTCTATGTTGATCATCAAAAGAAATCAAAATTATACAAAGGTGCAGCTGCACCACGTTTAACCAAAAATACTCTATCTACTGTACGCATGATTTCGGGCCATAATCCTGGGTCAGAAGAGATGTAGCCTTTTCTAAATGTTTCTCTGAGCTCTGCACAATTTGCGAATTTTGATTTTTGGAACTGCACGGAACTGCATCACTACTCGCCAAATTCGTTTGACATGACTTACCTAGCTCAGTAATGCTGACGGTTTCGTTCAAACGCACTGGACAATTTGCACAAGCACTTTTTTTATTTCGCACCAGCCGAAGTCTAGTGGAAAATAATGCATTGTTTTAAGTCTACTTCCTTTTTATATGCAGTTAAAAACGGCTGTTAGATCTTGTTTCGCTTGGTTTCAAAATTGTTCTTTCCTGTACAGTCGTGTTGCCACGGGCCGAAAAACTTGTCACTTCTTGAAAGGCGGTGGTTGAGTGGTTTTGTCATGTTGAACTAAATTCAACTAGATTTTGCCTTAACCCCTTATTGCATGATTTTTTATTTTTTTGTCAAAAAATATATGCGTTAGAATGATTAATTTCATGAAAAAATAGCAATCTATTATACAATATGTCCCAAATATTACTGTTAAAGATGTGCTCTGTCGTAATCTATTATATAATATGGGACATATTGTATAATAGATTGCGACGTGCTCTTCGAGCACGTCGTTAACAACAAATTGTATTCATGTATTGCTGTTAACGACGTGCTCGAAGAGCACGTCGCAATCTATTATACAATACGTCCCAAATATTGCTGTTAAAGATGTGCTCTGTCGCAATCTATTATATACTATGAGACATATTGTATAATAGATTGCGACGTGCTCTTCGAGCACGTCGTTAGCAATAAAGTGTATTCATATATTGCTGTTAACGACGTGCTCGAAGAGCACGTCGCAATCTATTATACAATACGTCCCAAATATTGCTGTTAAAGATGTGCTCTGTCGCAATCTATTATATACTATGAGACATATTGTATAATAGATTGCGACGTGCTCTTCGAGCACGTCGTTAGCAATAAATTGTATTAATATATTGCTGTTAACGACGTGCTCGAAGAGCACGTCGCAATCTATTATACAATACATCCCAAATATTGCTGTTAAAGATGTGCTCTGTCGCAATCTATTATATACTATGAGACATATTGTATAATAGATTGCGACGTGCTCTTCGAGCACGTCGTTAGCAATAAATTGTATTAATATATTGCTGTTAACGACGTGCTCGAAGAGCACGTCGCAATCTATTATACAATACATCCCAAATATTGCTGTTAAAGATGTGCTCTGTCGCAATCTATTATATACTATGAGACATATTGTATAATAGATTGCGACGTGCTCTTCGAGCACGTCGTTAGCAATAAAGTGTATTCATATATTGCTGTTAACGACGTGCTCGAAGAGCACGTCGCAATCTATTATACAATACGTCCCAAATATTGCTGTTAAAGATGTGCTCTGTCGCAATCTATTATATACTATGAGACATATTGTATAATAGATTGCGACGTGCTCTTCGAGCACGTCGTTAGCAATAAATTGTATTAATATATTGCTGTTAACGACGTGCTCGAAGAGCACGTCGCAATCTATTATACAATACATCCCAAATATTGCTGTTAAAGATGTGCTCTGTCGCAATCTATTATATACTATGAGACATATTGTATAATAGATTGCGACGTGCTCTTCGAGCACGTCGTTAGCAATAAATTGTATTAATATATTGCTGTTAACGACGTGCTCGAAGAGCACGTCGCAATCTATTATACAATACGTCCCAAATATTGCTGTTAAAGATGTGCTCTGTCGCAATCTATTATATAATATGGGACACATTGTATAATATTTCAGAAATTTCAGACAACTTGAGTTGTACCAAATATGGCACAATATGCGGTAAGGGGTTAATGTTTAAATATATTATATTATTTGAATTATGTGCTTAGAAATAAAAATGATAAATTCCGCCTGCCGCCTCTTAATCTTGTCAACTATCAGTCACCGGTTTCAATGAAATTTGGTATACTTACAAGGGTCCGATGACAATCCAATATTATGAAAAATAATTTATTGATATGATATCAGAATTATAAGAAAATATTCTTTACTTTTTAGTGCATTTTATAAAAGCTTGTAACTTGTAGATCATTGCGCTCCGGGCGGCCGTCCGGATCGCCCTATCTTGGGGCCGACCCTGACTAGTGTCTAGTCTAAGTGACCTACGAATTTTATTCCAAAATGTCTATTTCAATTCGCAATATAGCTTGTCAAAAACTACTGAATTCATCGAAGGTTAAAAATTCCTACGTAAATATTCTAATAAACGAAAGCGGTACAAAAAGTACCAAGAAACGAAGCCATCATGCAAAAAATAATAATGACCGATGAGGCTGTGCAAGTAAAGGAAAAATTTTTCGTGGCCGGACTAATAACAAGTGGAGAATTTCAAAAATGTAGGTTTTTAGTCGTAAAATTGCACAATTCTTTTCCTGGGCATTATGAAAGACCCGAAATAAGACCTATGTTGAATGTCGAATGGGAGGAATTTCTTACAAAGGTGAAAAATCGTTAAACATATTGAATCAATAATATTTTTGATATTATTTTCAGCTAAAACGAAGATATGGAGATGGAATGTGGGGTATAACAAGGAGTGTGGTAGTTTTTAATAACGACGAATTTTTGGGCGATGATAAAACATTAGTTAATTATGTTTTGAAAAAGTATCAATTCTCCTTTAGTTTTGATTGGTACGAAGTTGGAAAATGCCACCTGATCGATACTTTTCAAAATATTATGGACAAATTCGTAAATATATATTTATATTTTTTACATATTACAAAATACTGAGTTAATGAATCAAATTACACATGAATAGTTTATGATCTAATCATTACGTGGTTAAAAAATTTTTGAAAGTTTTAAAAGAATTTTGAAATTAATTTTTCTAATTTTTTTTGTATAACTATCGCCGCCATATTGCAAAAATGTTTCAGAAGATATATGTCACAAAATAAACTTAAAAAATTCTGCTAAAAATCAGCATTTATTGCTTGGACTATTAATTTGGCCCAAAGGCAGGTTCTGCAATTATGGGAGAAATATTTTTTGATCTAAAATATAAAATTATTAGTAAGATGTGTTTTTCATATTACTGATTCTTCTGCAAGCCGGGAATAAGCTTGGGCGGGCTCTCTCTCTTATCTAGAGGATATTTGTGCTTAGGATTGAAAAGCATTTATAATTTCCTCGTATTAAAAGAAAAAATAATAAATGGAATATCTCTCCATATCTGGTGTAATTAGGGATATATTAAATGCCGTCTTAAATGTATATTATTAATAAATCTATTTTAATAAAAAACAAATACTGTTATCTGCAGTTAGAAAAGTAGTTTATTTTTGTAAAAAAATATGTTTTAGAGAAATTTAACATATATGACGATAGCTATCAACGGAAGAGTGGTGGGATCGCTGTTATTTGAGGTAAATTTTTCCTGTGTTAACACGTTAAGCGCCATGATGTACTCTCTATAACATTTACTCTTCGGGTACTGCGGTCTGAAAAAACAGACTATTTTCTAGATAACAAGTTGGTACAAAAAAAATAAAACATCAATATGGTATGTACCCAGACAACACACCAAATCCCAGAGATATCCACATAATATCTTTTGTGGATATCCAATATATCCACAGGATATCATAAATATTCCGTGGATCTAATATGGATATCCAAATGTCCGTCTATATCCACAATATAGAAGATATCATACGGATATCCTGCAAAATATCTAATGAGTATCTTGCAGACAATACAAGAAATCCCAGAGATATCCACAGAATATATTCTGTGGATATTCAATATATCCAATACGGATATCCAACCAAATGTCCATCTATATCCCAGGATATAGAAGAATTCGGATATTCAGCAAAATATTTTATAGGTATCTTTAGTAAAGGTTCATAAGTAATCAATAATTATTGAATAAAGTCGAAAGAAAATAGCAAAGATAAAAAATATTTTCAACACTCAAAATATTTTCAACACTCTGCCTTTGATTTTGCCCACAGGAGAAAGTTATCCTTATTAGGACTCTTCAGCAATAAATGGAAATTCTCGACTCCAGTCTCTAATGGAGTCTGATTGTGAAACAAATTTCGATCGAACTCAATTACAGCCTGTTGAGCATGAGTAGATGCGAAAGTAGTATCGCCATCTATACTTAGTAAGCAAAATCAAAAATTACATCTAGTGGCCACGATGGTTTACTCTTGTGCCTAGACTTTGATATATTTAATGGATGTCCATGGGATATTGAATACACCTTAAAAAAATTAATTTTAAATATCTGAACGGTAGTATTAGTCACAATGACGTAATTTTTTAATAATTTGCTATATAATTACTATTATTTATGGACATTTGCATGTCTATAAATTACAGCTCATGGATATAAAATAGATATCCACCATGGACTGGACATTCAGTGGATATTGGGATGTTCAGTAGATATCCAAAGGATTTGGTGTGCCGTCTGGGTACGACCCTATTTTGCAGACAACATGGTGACGCTTAACGTGTTTCAACTAATGCATATATTATGGACAAAGAATAACGAACCGCCATGTAATTTGACCGATGTTTTTAGCTTTACAGCGATGTAGTACCACTAGCTTGCGAAAATTTTCTGAATAAGTGTAAAGATCCTGTAGCAGGATATAGTGGAACTCCAGTTCATAGGTAAAAATTTTAATTTTTTTCAATAGATTTCTTCGGAAAACCTATTGCAGTTGCAAGGCCATTGCAAAAGCTTTTCGCCATCTATAAGTTTACATAGCAAGTAATAGAAGCAGGATTTTATTTCAAAAGAAACTGTAAATAATTTTTTCGGCTATCTGTCTAAGGATAAGGCGTCAGTAAAATTATTTTTCTTTTTTCTTGTCTTCTTTAGCTGTATGGGCATAGTTTGTAACTAGGACTATCTGAGGACTACCTGGCTTGCCAAGACGCGCATGTTAGTCCTCTTATGGCTGATTTTTGGAAAATAAACACTTTTTTAGAAAGAAAAACTGGTACTGGATAGATAGTGAAAAAGTAAACCCATACAACAATAGAAGAAGCTTAAATAAAATAATAAAAAAACTAGTGATTAAACCTTTTAGTCATCAAAATACTTAGGTATATAAGCACTGATGCCGTTGGGCTCTTAATTTAGGACCCATCTATCTCGTATCACATGGTTGTTGTTTCTATTACCTTGTATTTAATTTTTATATTATCCCTGTGTCTTTTAAGGATTGTTAAAAACAGTTGGATACAATGCGGAGGATGGAACATACCGGAAAAGCCGATGCGCTGTGAAAACTACGTCGTACCGCACGATAGAAGAGGAATTCTTTGCACAACTAATGATGGCCGGCATAAAAATAACACTTCTCAGTTTTTTATCACACTAGCTCCCACGCCTTGGATGGACGGAAGATATGTGGCCTTTGGGTAAATTTAATATCAACGTTTTAAAAAAGTTTGTAGAAAGAGAGAAATACTTATCCTCTTTAGAAACTTTTTTGAATCTCTTTATACTATACAGTAAGTGTTTGGATTAAACGCAAGCCAAAAGTAGTTCCCATCTCTCAGTACGGATCTTAAAGACCCAAAGAGAACAAAAAAGAAGTACTAGTAACTAAGGTAGTACGGTTTATAAGCTTTTCTTCGAATCCTTGAACGTTGAACTGGGTAATAATGCAAAAGTAGTCTCAAAAATATATAATTACGGATAGTAGGCAAGCCCTGGACTAGTACTTCTTACAATATTACCAAGTCCAAGCTTCATATTAAAGTAGTACATATTATTGAGGTAGACCAAAGATAAAAAGCAATCAACTGAAAACAGCTAAGTAAATAAATTTAGGAATGTCTCTCAATTTTTCAGGTACTGCAAACGTTGGGCGAAATAATTTTCTTTCAATATAAAAAACTGTTATCTTTCAGTCTTCTATTTTAGACAACTCCTGCAAGGCGAAGAAGTACTCAAACATATCGAAGCAGTTCCCACTTACTACGAAGCCCCTAAATACCCCATAACCATCGAATTGAGCGGCGAAGTGACATTGGATAGAATTCCAGATTACTTAACGTCCAACCAACGAGAAGAATTCAAAGCGTTATTGCCGAGCATATTCTTGGACAGCCTGTTAGGTCCGAGGTCAGACTATGATAAGGTACCAGAGCCGATGTCCAAGTTCGATTTGACCAGGTACAAGAAGGGAATGTACGGACTGAGGACAGATATGAAGAGTTATTTGCCGTTTGCGCACTTGCCGGATTATTTGATGCCACATGGTGGCTCAGAGAACGGTGAGTAGATTATATATGTTAATAGATTTGAAAAGAGATGGACATTATTTGTCAAGACAAATACTACCCCTAATTAACCAACAGAATACCAATAATACCTTCTTATACACATCTATACTGTTAATACGTTCAAACAAAATGGTAAAATTCAGAATCATTGGAAGAAATACGATAAAAATAACTTGGTATGATTTACTTGCTAAACCACGGTAAAATAAATATTTCAAGGATTTGTGATAGCGAGAAATAAAACTATATCGATATTAAATTAAGTAAAAAAGAAATACAACTTTTTCACTGGCTTCCTCGAAATTCTGCAGCAGAATACAAGAGGGGTATCTGCTCTCATTCAAGAAGCCCCACGTTGAAAGCGCCAGCACAGTCGCGAAATTAAAATACAGGGCAATTTAATGCAAAAATATTTAAATATTTTATTAATATTTTCAGGAAGCGATACAACCGCAGACGATTTTCCAGATATTGCAAGTGTAGTTAAATCATATGTTTATCCAAGAATAAGAAACTTTTTCCGATCATTTACTCTACCCAATCTTAGTGATACTACAGTGTAAGCAGAACTGAAATTATATTGGAACTTGTGTAGAAATTTTGCATACAATTTAATAAAACACAATTTTTTTAACGCAGGTACGTATTTATTGAATATAAACTATTAACGATATTAAAGATAAACTAGGAATTAACTAATACTTATTTTTATCACAAGATGGCTAGTAGTTCTTTTGTATTTTTATATGAGGATATAGCTGCTTCCAAATATTAACCTAAAAATAGAAAAAATAAATGTTACATTTAATATTCTGTAGGTATATTATTATTATTATATATAAAAAAAGTAAATTTACTTCATCTTGGTTGATAGAATCACAATAACTTATATCAAGCAACCTAAGTTTCGGTAGAAATAACAAAGCCTTTTCGCAAATTTCACCAGTAATATTTTTGATCCCTAAGAAATCTAATTGCGTCAATTCTTTGCACGACATTATGACAGGTGCTACAAGATTGTCATTTAGACCTCTCCATTCCGACAGAATCAGCCTGAAAGTTAATAGAAAAAAAATAGAACAAACGATTGTAAATTTTATAATAAATTCACCTCCTCAACTGTGGACAGCCTTCGGCTATAAAATGCAAACAATTTCCCGGGTCTTTGTTTATTAAACACCATCCAAGATCCAATTCTTTGATATTTGGACAGCTTCCGAAACGTCTGACACCTTCAGCTGTTAACGACAGTGTTTTCCATGAACTCCAAGTTGAAATATTTTTATTATACATCGCCACTGTTTGTACAACATGATCAAGTCTTTGAAGCCTTTCACATAAATCTAAAAATAAGAATAATAGTATTTTTTATTATTAAAAGTAATAATTACCTAAGATTAAAATCTTCAAATGAGGATTAGCCTTTAATACTGCAATAAGGTCGGCATCTTCAATATCAGACGAAGTAATATCTAATGACACTAACTTATTGAATTTTTCCAAATTATAATTTAAATGCAAACTCCAATTAGTATTTCTTAATCTTAAATCTGAAAATGTACAAGCATAGAAATGTGATATCTAACTTTATAACAGGGTTCAGACCCAGAGATTATTATTTAACATTAACATATGTATATAACAAAATGGATGCGAACCCTGTACTAATTTAAGCAAGTGTTACCTACTAGTTCTGTACAAGACGATAATTCCGATATAATTTCCGTATTCAAAAATTTACAATTGCCTAATGATAAATGAGTCAGTGTATTAGTATTTGCTCTGATAATCCTGAAAAAAATAAGACAAATGTTATGAATAACTACAGGTAAGGTAAGTGCACCAATAATTGACAGTGATCCAGTAATTGACACTTGCTCAATTATTCTTCAAAATAAGAACATTAGACTATATATGAGAAATTTATTTCTAAAATATTTGGCAACCGTGTAGCCTACGTAACATATGTTAGGTGGCACCACGGTCAGTTACAAAATGGTGAAAAGAGCACGTGTAGTGATAAGAGTGTTTATGTTAATACATTTCATAAGGTCAGTATACCAAATTGAATATATCTACTTCTTATCACTTCATGTTAAATTTATTTAAACTATTCCTGAGGGTGTATTAAACAACACTGATGGGTTTTTATGCATGTAAATCCTAAAACCTCATTTTTGTTAAAGTGTCAATAATTGGAACAAACAAAACCAGTATGTTCCAGTTATTGACATACCCTGTCAATCACTGGTCCACAAGCAAATACTGATATACATTGTTGTCATACTGTCTAAAAAGTCTGCAATATACCATTTAAATATGAGAACTAACAGCCTTTTGGTTCCAGTCATTGACAGGGGTATCAATTATTGGTACAAGAAGTGTCATTAACTGGAACACGTTTTTTATTACAGTTATGGCACCTAAAAAAAAATATACAGAGGCTCAGTTGGATGAACCTCTTGCTGCTATAGCAAAGAGGGATGCCAGTAGCTACAGCTGCTAAAACTTACTTTGTTCCACGAACAACGTTACTTTATAAATCAACAGGAAAGCTACTTATACATTGCCGAATGGGACCAAGTACCATCCTCACAAGCAATGAAAAAACTCTTGTCGAACAGTGGATACTTTCTGTAGCAAAAGTGCACCATCCAGTAGACAAAGAGAAATTACTAGACAGTGTCCAGTTTATCGTTAAAGAAAGTAAACGACCAAACCCTTTCACTGATTCGAGACCAGGTCGAAAATGTACGAGTCGTTTTTGAAAAGGCATCCAAATTTAAGCGAGAGTTGCACAAAATTTAACACCAGCCCGCGAAAAAGTTACTGAACAACAATTGCGACAATGGTTTCGGGAAGTGAAAGAATACTTGCAGTCAAAAAATTTATTTGTCGCAACGGAGGATCCTTCCAGAGTATTCAACTCTGATGAGAGTGCTTTTTTTTTTCTTCAACCAAAAGGTGATCAAGTCCTTGCACGAAAAGGGGATAAAAGCGTGTACAATACTGGAACCAACGACGAGAAAGAAAATGTTACTCTATTAGTCACCGCCAATGCCGCTCGGACACTAGCTCCTCCCATGGTGGTGTTTAAATATGAACGCAATCCAAGTCATGTAGCTGTCAGTATCAATAAAAGTTGGGGAATAGGCCATTCCGAAAGTGGATGGAGGATGTGTGGAGCAACTTTTTTTGAATACATAACAAATGTGTTTGTACCATAGTTAGATGAGAAAAAAATTGAGAGACCTATTATTATGTTTATTGACGGTCATGTGTCGTACATGACATCACACCTATCAAAGTTTTGTTCATAAAACGAAATAGAACTTTTTGCATTGTATCCAAACTACACATTTAATTCAACCTATGGATGTGGCTGTATTTAAGCCAATAAAACAATTTTGGAAAAAATCTGTAAGAGATTGGCACATCGAAAAACACGGAAAAATATTGCGAAAAGAAAATTTCGGAAAAGTGAGAAAGCTTTATCCAAAGTTACAGATAAAACAATTCAACATGGATTTAGGGCATGTGGACTTTCGCCGTTTAATGTAGAAAATGTAAAATTTTCAAAAATTTCAAACCCGTCGACAGAAGTTAATCAAACCAGAATAATAGAAGGGTTGGCAGTTTTGGAAAAATTTATTCCCTCAGAAAAATTAAAAAACTTTCGAACAAATTTTGATACTGCATGGACAGGTAATATGGAAGACGTGTCACTATTTAAAGTATGGAACACAATGAAATAAAAAAAAAAATTAAAATAGAATCCGCTTTAGGTGTTGAACCATTAGAAAACATAAATAAAAGTGAAAACCAAAACTGCAACAAGAAAGAAAATTATCTTGTAGAAAACATATTAGACAATTCGAGACCAGGACCTTCAATAACAAAGAGTTGATTCTGATATGACCCCATTAAAAATTGTTATACATTCTGATGTCAATATTACACCTCCTACTGTATCACAAAGTGATAGATCTCCTTTAAATTCATTGAAAAATACAACGCCGTTCAATGTATTATCTTTAAAGAAACAAGTTCCCACTCCATTTAAAAAAGCCTTGTTTTGGCTGGAAGAAGTAAAATAACAAAAAAAAAAAGAATAAAGAGCAAATTCCTTGTGCTATTACGTCAGAAATTTGGCAAAAATACCACATAAAAAGGATTCTGAGAAAAAGAGAAAACAAGAAGAACAACAAAAACGGGCAGAAGAGAGAAAGTTCTAACAATTCATCCGAAAACGAAGAATGGATAGAAAGTGGAGACGACGACGATATCCATGTAGATTTTATTTTAGCGAAATTCTTAGGAGGAAAGAAAAATACCTTCAAACTTGTTGATAGTGATATTTCAATAATCAAGATAGAGGATATCATAAAAAAGTTATTCCAACCGGAACTACACAATGTCGGCGATAGAATAAAATATGTATTTTCAAAAAATATTGATATTTTTGAAGCCTAAAGCACCCATAAATTTTCATTTTTTGTGTTTATTTTTATTTACTTAGTGTATTCAAAATTAAAAGTATAATAAAAAAATGTTCCTTAATTTGTGTCAATGATTCGTGTGTCAATTACTGGTACATGAAAAAAATCAAGTGTCAATGACTGGTACTTCAAAACACTGTTTCTATAATATTTATTTCATAAAAAGCAAAATTATTGGAACTAAAAATACATAACTAATGAACTCAAGAAACTATAAGCTACAAGAAAAAATCGTATTATATGCTTAAATTTTTTTGTTATTGGTGAAAATAATTATTTAATACAAATCAGCGTCTAATTATTGGTGCAGTTACCTTAAGCCTGTTTTTTTTAAAATGTGGTCAGACTATATTATAATTAACCAAGATACCTAACCTGTATGGCCTGGTGCCATAGATATTGGTTCAAAAAACTACGAATATGAAAAAGTAAGTTTTTTTAACTGGTATTTAATAAATTTATTTTATTTTTTTAAATGTTTGCATAACTACTGATGAAATTTCTATGAAGAATTTAAATAAGATTGACATTTTAATGTCGTGGACATATTTCACATTAAAAAAAATGTAGACTTACATTGCAACAAATTGACAAAAATCATCAATATCATTTCCACACCAAGACAAATCTAACTTTTTTAAAGTTTTACATTTTTCCAAAAAATATGTTAATGTATCACAGTTTACCATATACCAATAGGGCTAAAATTAAAACAATATAAATAATTAATTGGTAAGTTTTATTGTTATTTCTTGTTTCACTACCTTTAGGTTAATATTTTGATAAAGAAGAGCATCTGCTGAAACTTCATTCCATCTTATGGAAACTCTTGCACATCTACTTAAAGATTTTAAATCTAAATATTGAAATATGTGTAATATAACTTCATTCTAAAAATAATCCGCATTACAAACTTAATGAAAATATTTACTTTTCAAGTAAATACTTTTTTGAGTCACTTACAGGTAAATGTGTAAAGAAATCTAATTTATTAGGTTCAATTTGGCAGACTTTATCCCCTGAATCGTCTTCAGGTTGCAGAACTTTAATGCTATTTAACAGCCCCAGAGACATTATACTAGTCTCTAAAATAGATGTAGGTTGCTGGCCACCCAAAAGGACAGCTTCAACAGCATAATGGTAGTCTAAATGGGTCTGGTTAAATTCTAAACGCACAGTACTGTAAAATAAATGAAATTATAATATTTTGAGAAATTTGTCTCCATTTTAAGCTGTAATTGTATATACATAAATAAAATATAAAACATGCAGCTAGTCTAACTGATGTAATAGGAAATATAAAAATTAAAAACATAAATTCATCACAATTTTCCTAAAAAAGGTTTCTTTTGCTACAACATGAATCACACTTACTTTATTAAATAATTAATTTGCCTAATTTGAGGATGAAATTTTCTAGATTGTTTTGGGTGTACTTCAGGTTCGCCCTCCCACAGTAACACCCAAGGCCTTTGAGTTTTGCATAATAATTTGCCCCAAATACGGACAACAGCACCAGGATTGTATATTTCATAAACACATATATCTTTAGGTACGACAGCACCTTCAAATCTATTAGGAAAAATAAACAATTTGAAATGAGAATTTGTAATTTTAATATGTAGCCTTACTGGACTGTAACATAATCTTCTGCACCAAGACAGTCATAATCTTGAGGCCTGTAATTAATTTGGAAACTTTCGCTTTTTTTCCTCCAGTTTCCATAGTATCTCTATAAAAATTTAAAGATATAAATGTTCATATTTTACAATAACAATTAAATATACATACTAAGCAATATGCTTCTGGAAAATCTCCATAAGCAGGATATTTCTCGTACTCTCCAATTAAATTAGTAGGAGCATAATAACAACTATTAGAGTAATTATATCTAGACGAAAAATCCAGCACTTTCTGCACATAAAATTCTAGTCTTGCATTCGTCCTGGGAAAGTCTAGAGTCATTATTATATATTTTAATAATTAACAACTTATTTGTTTTCATAATTTTTTGGGAGTAACATTTGCGATCATATGGTTTCATTTTTTTCCTGCGTTTATTTTATGTACACCGAACACCGAAATCAGAATTATGCATTCCAACGACCTATCAAACTGCTGACAAGTGGGAACTGATATTTAGATCTGGCAAACCTGTGAGCCTGTTATCATTGACAGGATCAATGATACATATATAAGATATATAGATTGATCAGAGCGGGTCGGCCATATTGCCTCGAAAGTGCTCATCAATCAGAATCGACTTTGTAAAAATGTGTTTACAAATCAATATTTAGCCTTTGAATATAGTAAAAAAATAATAATCTACATTTTTCTTCAAGGCATAAGCTTGTGGGCAAAAACCCACTGGTAGCCATTTTATTTGGAATGCCTAATTATATTCGAGTGTAGAATCAAAGAGATGTTTTTTTTGTGTACCTTGAGGGTTTTTTCGTCATAGAACGCAACATATTCTTTTCCTATTTCTAGACCAGTCAATTATTACAGAATTATAGATTGCTTCATCATGAAGAAATGGATGGCCGTGTTTGAAAATTGATTTCAGAACATTAAAAAAGAATTAAAAAAAAAAAAAACTTAAATCCAATTCCACCGTTGTATTAAACGGAGATTAAAATGACATTGTTAATGTAAAAATGTCATTTTAAACTTCGTTGTAAAAGGAAGAATATTGGAGAAAATGCAAACTTCGTTAACACAGCAGTGGAATCGGCCCTAAGCCGGTTCTGTAAACATTTCTCAGTTCGAAGTTATTTTACATAGAAGTAACCAATCTATATTGTTATGCAGCATTGGAGAAAAACGAGAACGGAGTAGAAGAATTATGACATTGACGTTCAATGTTTACAATTTTAAATAAAACAAAAACATTATATTCATAAATGTCTTTAGCCTAAATAAATATTAAAATAAATACAATAATGCCTCAGGAATTTGATTCAAAAGTTAGTATGCACTTGGACATTAATCATGGGCTAGATCGGTAAGTTTGAGGTTATTTTTTGGTTTCTAAAATACTGTAGAAAGACTAAGGAATACCTTTATTTATAGAAAAAATATTTACTCTGCTTTAGTTATTACTATTTAACATTCTTTTTTTGTCCCTCAATTTTCTTTAGCATTTTTTAACCTTGTTAAAATAAATATATTTAATAATGCATTTTTTATATTTCCAGTGTTACAGAGTTGGTACAAACACGTCTAATTGAAAGTGGGTGGCGAGATCAGGTTAAGCTTGCATGCAGAAAAGCCATATTGGAAAGTGGAGATAAACATGTTCCAACTGCAGATGAACTAATTGCTCAAATAACCCCCAAAGCCCGGTCAATGGTACCGGACGCAGTCAAAAGAGAACTTTTGCATGAATTAGAGATAATTTTGATAAACCTTGACAAGACAGGGTACAATAAGGGGTTTTAAGTATTGTGAATTTAATGTGATTAAACTTTATGCTGGTTTGTAGGATCGTTAATCTATAATATGAATAATTAATAATAAAAGTAATTGGTTAGAAATTATATATAGTAATTTAATAAAAAATCATGTATTCTTTTCTAGATTAAAATAATTTTCTTTATACACTTGTGTGAGATTCTGTAAAAAATAAAACATTTATCACAATTATTATAGTTATTAATTTTCCATTAAATGGCCTTCATAATTCATCTTTTTGCAGGTTACATATACATTCTTCAATCTTTTTTTGGCTAATCATTTCCATCCCCTCTAAAATCTCTATCTTACTAGTAATAATCTTGCTAAATTCATTAAAAATATGCAAGTGATAACAAAAAATATTCTTAGGTAACAAATTCTCATTTGCGAATTCTTGACTTCTTCTAGCTATTTCTTTAGCTCTGCTATCATTCTCAATTGCCCATTTAATCTTATCCAGAAGATCTGTAATATCATTCTTAATAGGTATGTAATGTATATTGGGTTGTAGGTCCATATAAAAATATTCAAAATACTTGGATTCAGGTTTAAAAACTAATGAACCACCTGCTAAAAGGTAAGGCATTCTGTAAGGTGCTACAGTTCCATCTATGGCCAGTTGATATTTATACTAAAAATATAAGACTTATATCAAAATGTTCCTTAGGTCTAGGGTTTGTTCAATATCCAAGTTTATTTTATTATTATTATAAACTTACATCAAAAAACTTAAAAAACGACACATGTTCACTCTTTGGGCCATAAATGGCTTCTTCATCTTTATAGAAAAAAAAATTTGTCAATGAAGTATTGAAAAAATCTGGATATTTCCGAGCCATTTTTATTAATTCAAGACGGTACTTATTAGAATCTCGTCCCCTCCAAAATAACTTTGGAATTCGATTTTCCCACCTCCCATCTGTATTTCCTTGTACTGACAATATATCTAGAGTTACCCTAAAAGAAACAAGTTAGTACAACATATAGATTTTTATTTACAACTGTTAACCTTCCCATATTTTCTAAAGTTGATTCTGTAATATCATAAGTTGGCATAATAATATCATAACTGTCTGTACTGCCACACCATGAAAACACTGGATATTTTTCCTTTAAGTTAAAAGTAGATAGTGGCCAGTCTCCTAAATTAGAAAAAAATTCCATATCTGGAAGAATACTCTTTCTGGTTAGAGATAATAGAATATTATCAACAAACATATTGAAACCAACATATTTTCCATAACATCTTCTATAGATTTTATTATTTTTAATAACATAGTGGCACAGGCTGACTGAGTGGGGCTGATCAAACTTTTTTATCACCTAAAATACATTTATTAATTCAAAGAACTTTTAACTCATCACAAATTAGAGAAATAGGACATTTTTTGATTTTACTTATTTAATTAATAAATATTTTATTAACTAATAGACTTTTTCCATTAGAAAGGCCATTTTTACCTTCAAATTGCTGCAGCATAAATTACTGTTTCTTCATATTACAGCCAATTAAAGTATTTCCTAGCTCACTAAGTAATTTAATTTATAAATAATGCAGATTTAAATTTATACTACACACTGTATAAAAAACTGTATTATACTTACATGTTTTCTTCTCTCATCCCAATTTATTTGACCAAATTCAGCCAACCTACTCTTCAGTAATTCTGGTACAGGCCCACAATCCCACAAGTTAAGTACTTCCTCAATTTTATGTGTGGGACAGTCACAATCATCAGATAAAATCTGTTTATTTATAATATATGGTGATTTAGCTAAATGATTTCCTCTATATTTAATAGAAATTTTTATATTTGAGCAAGTTTCATATAATTTATATCTAACTATGTAACTACCATTTTTTCTATTTAGAACATTTGTCCAAATTCTACAGGGTTTTTGGCTATTTGTTCCACCTTCAATTACTACATGCAGTGTTTTATTTTGTGTTGAATTACTAAAAATTGAATAAATGTATAATTTTGTTTTAATTTGTACCATTAATATGTACGTTACCTGTTATTATTTTCACTTTTTCCAAGTTTAATGAAGAAATATCTTGCAGGCATTACAATTTTTTCGGGCTCTAAGCCAGGTCCCCAAATTTGCGTTAATTCGGAATTAATATTTGAAATTACATAAACACAGTCCACAAATAGAAGCAATATCACTATTTTATATGAATTTCCCATTTTTCAATTATTTAATACATGTATTTAACTTTAATAAAATCATGTAGAGGGGTAGATATAGGCCTAGATTATAATTTCAAAATAAGATGGTTCGTTATTTAACTCCAGAACCACTAAAAATCTGAAAAGTGTAGAGTTTTAAACGAACGCGTTTTAAAAAACCCATTGATATAACAACCTGAGGATGTCATTTGTAACTATTTTGGATAGGCTTGTCTTGTCTTTTGCAATTAGGCATTCCAAACTGAATGCCTACCAGTGGGCTTTGACGGATTATGATATTGCAAAATTATGGCAACCCTGTAGACCTGGTGATTTGACAAGGTCAATGGAATAGATAGTTACATAGATTGATTATCCATATTTTTCAAAATAAACATAAGCGTATGCCTTGAAGTAAAAATGTAAGCAATTATTTTTTTTTAAATATCTAAAGGCTAAAAATTGGTTTTAAAACACATTTTTGCTAAACCGATTCAAATTAATAAATATTTGCCAGGCAATATGGCCGCTCGTGAACGACCAGCTTTGAGCAATCTATATAACTATATATGTATCATTGACCCTGCTAATGACAACAGGGTTGCCATATCTAAACTGTCATTACCCACTGGTAGCCATTTGGACAGGTCGTAGGAATGCCTAATACTTAAATGGAGGAAAAGCAGCTGCGGATTTACATGTTTTTACTTCTACTATTTCTGGTTAAGTCTTAGAATATATATAGTCAGGAAGAAGTATGCCATGTCCGCGTTAATCTAATCGATTTGACTGAAGTAAATAAATTCCTTACTAACTATATAAATGTGCCGTTTTTTTCGTATAATAAAAGTTTATTGTATGAATGTGATACACCCTATATAATTTATTACAAAGTTATTTATAAAAATGAACACAAATAGAATTAATAATATCTAAAGTAAGGAAATAAGTAGCATATCGCATGCCTCAGATACTGTCTTAGACCTTATCTTGTTTAATTTTATTTTAAATAAGTTTTTCAGCCGACACAGTTATTCTGTAAAATGCAGAAAACTGGAATTAATTGAAATTATTAATAGAAACATGTCTTATAAAAATTTTCGAATGGTTTAATTATAAAAACTTACAAACCTTTGATAAAACTTATGTTGTTCCATCATTATACAGTTACAAAAAGATGACCTCTTCTTATAGAAACAATAAAAGGTAACGTTCAGTAGTTTCATATAAGTATTACAAATGATATCAAACACTTTAAAGTACAAATTGATTCTCATCATAACTGGACTAAGCATACAAATAATGCGTTGAATGTACATTTAAAAATAATCTATTTTGGACTCATAGAATCGATATTACGTTATAGGATCCTTTCTTGGGAAGGTGTTTTACCTGCTTATGCAAAATTGTCCTACAAAAAATATTACTAATAATATTATGTAATAAAATGATCAGAAATTTCTAAGAAAGAAATATCATAGCGGTGTTTGACCTAAATATAAGTATAGGATATTTAATTTTTTTTTTAACGCATATCTACAAAACATATTTATTTTTCAAACTTTAATAATTTGCAAAGACATTGTCATAATAAAGACGTAAAAAAGTCTATATATATTTTTTAATACATTATTCTTTGATTTTTCAAATGAAATCCCTCTATAAATTATTCCAAAAATATTTTCCTATGTTTATCCCACCCAACATGCAATTTTAAAGTAAAATTCTTTAAAATGAGAGAAATCTGTAAATTTATATTATGCAAACGAGAATTTATTATTTTCTTTTCTACGCCCCTTTATGACAGTACGTCACTGGTAGACCGGAAACACTTGTCGCCATATTCGTCTAGTTCACTGTCAAAATTAGACACCTTCGCGATTCCAAGGTCGTTTAATTGCACTCATGGCAGACCGATCCCGCTTTGTCCTTACACATGTCTATCTATACTTATCATATCAATGATGAAACCACATGGTTACTGTCACTGTCAAGTGTGATTGACAAGTAACATAACCTCAGAAACAAATGTGTGAAATAAAACAAATGTGCAAAATAAATTAAATTGTTCAAAATGCAAGTTTCCGATCCAAATAATGTTAAAATATATAATTTAAGTGCAGGAAAATCTTTACCAGAGGTATGTCATTTCTCATTTACGATATTAAGTCATTTTTTATTCAAATATGGTTATAATTTATAGTGGTTGTCTGAAAGAAAACGTCGTGCCTTATTGAAGAAAAATGTGGATATCAGAAGACGTATTGAGCTTATTCAAGATTTTGATATGCCAGCGCTTAGTTCAACAGTAAAGGTTTCAAAAGATGGCAATTATGTTTTAGCAACTGGTACTTATAAACCAAGAGTAAAGTGTTTTGATGTCAATAATCTATCTTTAAAATTTGAACGATGTTTTGATTCTGAAGCTGTAACTTTTGAAGTACTCAGTGATGATTATAGCAAAGTAAGTTATATGATACTGTTTATTAAACACTGGGTTATAAAATATTAACTTTTAGTTGGTGTTTCTACAGTGCGATAGATATATAGAATTTCATGCAGCTTATGGTAGATATTATAGATTGCGAATACCAAAATTTGGTAGGGATTTGCAATATGATTATTCCAGCTGTGATATTTTTGTTGTCGGAGCTTCTCCAGATGTGTATAGGTGAGCTTAGGTTAACTAAAATTATCTCTGTCCAATTAATTTATAAAAGATTATTTATTTTAGGTTAAATTTAGAAAGGGGACAGTTTATGACTCCTTATACAAGCACAGCTTCATCCATAAATAAATGTACAATCAATCCAGTACACAATTTATTGTTATGTGGTACACAAGAAGGTAAAGTTGAAGCATGGGATCAAAGAAGCAAAAGTATGGTCGGTAGTTTAGATTGTGCATTTACTTGCATGAATGAAAATAAAGAGTTAGTATAAAATGAAGTTGTTACAATTATAATTTGTTATTTTAGGTATTTTACAATTTAGTGGAAGATTTTTAATTTTTAAAAATATTTCATGGTACTGTTACTAACTATGAACATGTTTTATACAATTTTATGATATACTATGAACGTTTTTTTAATTATTTTTTTGTTTTTTTTTTTTTTAGTTTGGAAGGGTTTCCTTCAGTAACATCCTTAAAATTTAATGGTGGTTTACAATTAGGAGTTGGTACAGCTACTGGACAAATATTACTGTATGACATAAGATCCAATAAACCATTTTACATTAAAGATCATATGTATGGTTTACCTATCAAGGATGTTCATTTTCATTATCAACAAGACTTGGTGTTTTCACTCGATAGTACAGTATTGAAAATTTGGGAAAAAAATAATGTAAATATTTTTGTTTTAAGATTATTCCAATAGTTCTTATGTTTAAAATGTACAAAAACTTTTCAGGGAAAATTATATACTTCGATAGAAGCCAATATTGAATTCAATAATCTTTGCACAGTTCCAAATACGGGTCTTTTCTTTTTGGCAAATGAAAATCCAAAAATTCAAACTTATTACATCCCTAGTTTGGGCCCAGCACCAAAATGGGCCAGCTTTTTGGACTCTTTGACAGAAGAATTAGAAGAAAATATAAGAGAAAATGTTTATGATGATTATAAATTTGTTACAAAACAAGAATTGGAGAATTTGGGCTTAGATCATTTGATTGGAACCAATTTGATGCGGGCCTACATGCATGGGTGAATATTTTCATAATTTACTCAGTGATTCCTTAAAATTAAAGTTAAAAATATTTGTTTTTATCTTTTAGGTACTTTATGGACATTCGTTTATATAAAAAAGCTAAATCAGTAGCTAATCCATTTGAGTTTGAAGAATATAGAAAGAAAAAAATAAGAGAAACAATAGAAAAAGGTCGTGAAAACAGAGTACAAGTCACAAAACTTCCTAAAGTTAACAAAGATCTAGCTCTTAAATTGATGAATGATGAACAGAACAGTAAGAAAAATAAAGTAGCTGCAACTACAATTCTCAATGATAACAGATTTAAAGCTTTGTTTGAAAATCCTGATTTTGAAGTTGATAAGAATACTGATGAGTTTAGATTGTTAAATCCAGTTTTATCACGTTTGGATAACTCCAAAATGAAGCAGATGAAGCAGAAATTAGTGGCTCAAGAATTTGAACCAGTAGATGTAAGTTTCTATAGTTATTAAATTACTTTGTAGAGCTTTAATTTAAATTTGTAGGAGGAAATGGAAGGTAAAAACAGTTCTGAAGAATCTGAAGATGATTTGGAAGAAGGCAATGAAGAGAGTTCAGATGATGAACACACTTGGACTAAAGAAGTGAAAAAACAACATAAGATCATTCAGAGAGAACACAGACAGAAAGAATGGGAGGAAGAAAAGAGAGCACGTGAAGAGGAAATGTTGAAACAGCCCAAATTGTATGAATTGAGACATGGAGAAGAATTCAAAGGACTAAATAGTCTTAAGAAGAAACTAAACAAGTAAGCCTTTTACTTTATTTAAATACAATATTATATAGGAATATCATATTTGCATACCAGTTAAAAACATTAATGAGTATTTTTTTGGGTCAGTTTGGATTTATTCTAATTTTTTATTTATTTTTAACATCTTTGCATTATCTTTCTTACATTGTTGTCTTAATTTTATCGCTTTTATCAATAATTTTGTGTTAATTTGGACATTCTCATTGGTGTTATTGTTACATATTTCAATTATGTTACTTTCTTTTTATAGAAATATTAGCCTAGGCGCAAATTCAGCTGAGAATGTTCAAATTTTACTCCAACTCTTGTGTAATTGTTATCTTTTGTATTTTTTTAGAGCTTCGCTCAGTGAGAGATTGAGCAATGAAGACACGTCAGTTCGATTACTGGGATCTGTGGGTAATAGAGAAATGACTTTCTCAACTCGGAAGAAGAAAAACTTTTCGTTGGAGGAGAAGAATAGAAGACATAGAGAAGAAAGGAAACGTTTAGTGAGACCTGTGCATGGCATCAAGTCGAAGTTTAAATCAAAATTTGGTGGAAATCGTCGTTGATAAAAATTGATAACTATTATTAAGTTTAAAATTTATTTTTTAAGAATATATGTATTATAATAAATAAAAATAAAAGTATAAATTTGTTTTGTTTTATTTTATTAATAGAAATACAAAATAATATGAATAGCTTCGAGGAAAAATTTCAATGACCAAAACTTAGAAATTATTTAAATAATCGTAGGAAGGTCGCTACATTGCAGCTTTTGGTAAAAACGTAGAGAACCTTCGCCTTTTTATATAAATAAACTATGTTGTTGGATACTTCAGTTGATAGATAAAATTAGTTGTGTAAAGATAAATTGTTTGAAATATAAATAGTGCTGATAATGAAAATAAGTAGGGAGAGACATAAAAAACAAGTGAAATTTTGGAAAAATGTCCAATACATAAAAATGAATAGAGATAAAAAATTAAAACTAGAACTATCGAAAAGAATACAATTTTATAAAACATAGAGCATTCTTAAAATTAAATGTAATTTTAATTTAAGGGAGAGACATAGAAAACCATTAAAAATTTGGAAAATGTCTTATGTAAAAACGAATAGAGATAAAAAATTGAAACAAGAACAGTCCGAAAGAGAATACAATTTTATACAATATAAAGTATTCTTAATATCTATTTCACATGAAATGTGATTTTTATTTAAGGGAGAGACATACAAAACAAGTGAAAATTTGAAATAAGAACAGTACAAAAGAGAATACAATTATATACAATATAGATTTAAAATGAAATATAATTGGACTATTGTTAATATAAACATTTTGCACATTTTTTTTTTATTTAATTCTGCAAATTTACAACTCTTAAAATACATAGAAATAAACCTAAGTAAATGTGTGAAACGAGTAAGACAGGTGAGGAGAAATCCTCCACTGGCGATCCTCCTGTATTTACTGTGGTTCGATGGGTTATTCATTCATTGTGGTTTGGAACCTCCATTAGGTCTGTAGGCCACTGTCTTTTAAGTCTTCTTCTGATATTAGGTGGATTACTCATCTCAGTCATATATAGGTTTTCGTTACCCTGTAGTTTCTCTTTGTAGATTATTAACATTATTTTTATTTCATCGACTACGTATGCAATTTGTAAGTCGTTGTGTAAAGTAAGATTGGATACATACCATGGGGCGTTTGTTAATGTGCGAAGTACATTTGATTGTAACCTTTGAATGATTTTCACGTTTGATGCTTTGGTACAGCCCCATAGCTGTATCCCATAAGTCCATATGGGCTTTAAAATGCACTTATATAATAATAGCTTATTCTCTAGGATAATTTGGATTTACGTCCTATCAGCCAGGACATTTATCTTATTTTTAGGTTTATTTGCTGTCGTTTGGTTATAAAAAGTTTTTTTGATCTAGATGTAATCCTAAGTATTTAACTTCTGTTTGAATTGGTATCTGTGAGTTTTGAAATGACACTGGAGGACATAAGGTGCGCCTAGTTGTAAACGTTATTTGTGCTGATTTGTTGTGATTAATTTTAATTCTCCATGTATCGAACCACTTTTGAAGGACGTCAAGGTGTTGCTGAAGGTAATTGGATGCTACAGCTGGATCTTCGTTTACTGCCAGTACGGCAGTATCATCTGCGAAAGTAGCAATAGTTGTATTGTCTAAGGAAGGTAAGTCTGCAGTATAAACTAGATGAAGCAGTGGCCCGAGCACACTTCCCTGTAGTACCCCTGATTTTATAGGATGGCATCTTGAAACCGTCGTATTGTACTTTGTTTGGAAATATCGATAAATAGGATTTCACAAGCAGATAATAAGGACTTGGAAAGGTGTTTTTGATTTTGTTTAATAAACCGGTGTGCCAGACCTTGTCAAAGGCCTGGGCGACGTCAAGAAATGCTGCTATACTTCTCTTCGAAGCTCGAGATAATTTTGTTAACAATTCTGTGTTTGTTGAATTGATAGTCGGGGATTATGGCATTTAGTTCTATATCGTTTGAAATTCTGTGTAGTAATAGTCTTTCAAATAACTTGGAATTGGTAAAAGACTGATAGGACGACATGAATTTGCTTTGTTAGCTGGTTTTCCCTGTTCATGTATTACTATCATTTGGGCGAATTTCCATACTAGGGGAAAGAAAATAGCGTTTTTATTTTTTTTTTTGGGCCGTAAGCCGTAAGCTAATTTTGGATTACCTCCGGTCGTAGAATCTCCAAAATATCAGTTTTCAATAAATTAACAATTTAGCTTGTGACACTCACAGGGCCGACTAGAGGAGGGCAGCCGGGACTAATTCCCGAGGCCCGGGCTCAAATGGGGGCCCCGGCAGCGGTGGTGATTGTTACTTTCAGAAGTTCGACAGAAGAGGGGGAAAGTTCTTAGTTGAAGATCTTTGTTTTGAGAGATTCAAGCAGAGAAGGAGAAATTTTTGCTTGGAGACCTTTTGTTATTTATTTTTTTATAAAATTGTCGCCGGGGCCCAATCTGGAGAATTGTCTTGGATCCCGGTCTGGCTCTCGGCAGTCCTGGACACTCAGCCCCCCAAAACAAAGCATTATTTCGATTGACATTACACTATCAATAAATTGAAAAATAAATAAATAAGATTTTCAACTCTTTTAATAAATTAGATAATTATATAGTTATTACAAAAAACCTTTATCAACAAAAAATTACAATTTATAGATTATTATTAGATTCCTGAGGCCAACAACAGTACGGTAACGATCTCAGTTCAATAAAAATGGAAGATGTTGTTTATCTGTAGGTTATCACTAATAATTATTAAAGAAAAAAAAATGTTAAGTATGAGCATTTCACTCTTATTTAGTATGCTACAAAAACAACTTGGTATACCTACCTATCTTTTATTAATTAATATGTAGCAAAAGCAGTAGTTGTTTTTCCAGGTGAGTTTTTTGTTACAAGTTAAAAAGTTGTTTCGAATTTTATACAGGAAGAGCCATTATTATATGTGTAGACATTCTTTTACTGATAAACAAATAATAGTAAGTAGTATATAAATATTATATACTTTTTGAGATAGTGTAAATATTTTGATCATATTTATCTAACAAAAATGTAGTAAAAACTGCAATAAATGTTTATAATTTTTGTATTTGCCTTTGTTTCTACTACTAAACAACTGCTTCGAATTTTATGATGAAATTAAAAACTAAATATAACGATTTTTTAATTGAATTAAAAAGATAACAAAAAATTGTTTATAATATTGCATTTCTAAATTTCCAAATGCTAAAATATAACAAACAAGAGATTAAACAAATTTAAATATTACTCACTTTAAAAAACTATTATCGTTGAAATAGAAATAAGATAAATCCGTGAAGAATTAAAGAAATATTATCATTTTAACCTTTAAAAGGTGATATGCCTACTTTCTGGCAGATAAATAGATCAGCACTGTTCTATTATCAGTATCAGAGGTCTCCAAACTTTTTTGCCATGTGTTTCGGTGTTGGGTAGATGCCCTGCTTAGCTAATGTCGCATTTTGGAAAATTCATGATGAGTTTTGACATATTTCTAACTATAGTGAGGCGTAGAAGAAAAACAAACAAAAAACACATTCATGTTTATACATTTATAAAACAAACCAAAATAAAATTAAGCACATGTGTCAAAAAAAGCAAAAAATATTATCAACTACAAGTCTTTCGAAAGCCAGCGTACTTCAGTGTAAAAAAGCAATTGATGAAAGTTCTCGTAATCATATTTAATTTCATCAATATCCAAGTAACACCATAAAAACATTTTGGGTTTATTTCAGTTTTAAAATGGTTTTAATGTGGTAAATAAGAAGATACTGGTTTTAAAGTTGCCTTGTAGATATACTGCGGGCACTTAAAAGCCGTTTAGCATTTAATACTGGTTTTAAAGTATCTAATAAGATTCGCTAATAAGGGCAATTAATCTTAAAAGTTTGTATGTCTTGTTGTAGTTTTAAAATGGTTTAGTTTCAATTAACTTTAAAAATACTTAGTTTTATGAAGGACTTGCAAGTTGTTTGATTTTATTATGTTCTAGATTGTGACGTTTTAGTTTTTAAGTAGTTTTAAAAAATTCTTAATATAACTAATAAAACCTATTAATAAATCTGCTTGATCTTAGGACAATTTGGTCAGTAAATATTGCGTTTTAAAACTATTTTATTGGTTTTCTTAAATGCAATTAGATAGCTATATTAAAACGGAACGCTCTTAACTAAATCAATTTGGTTATCGTGAAGACTAACTGTACTTCTTGTCAGAAACAATAAAATTTAACTCATCCCCTTTTTTTACGTGGCCCAAATGAACCCCGCATTTTGTATCATGTCAAACAGGGGTGTACCTACAATAACTTGAAAAATTGAAAACAATATATTATTATTACTAATCTAAAAATACACAAAATACAAACGACTTATATGACACGGATATTTTAACGTTAGGTTTACATTAAAACCGAGCGGCATTTATCACAGCCGCATTAAAACTAAACCTTTTAAATCACAAGCGAACCTTTCTTTTGTCTAGGGTATGTGCTCTTGGAACAGTATAAAACTCGATTAAATAAAACCCTTTGATCTTAACGTTTCCTTGTCCATTAACTAAAAGGTTTTATTTAATTTCTGGCCATTTTACTTTCTCGAGATGGTGGAAGTCATGATAAATAAAAATATATAGGCTTACATAAAAACGACAAGTTGTTTAAAGATAAAAAATACAAAAATCTTAATCTTAATCTCACAAAATAATACGAGCGACCATTTTTCAGCAGCAAACAACTACTTAATTGGAAAGGAGTATTTATTTTTTCTTTGTTGTTTTCATACGTTTGAGATTTTCAAACTTTTCCTTATTTTATTATTTTTATTCTTAATTTTTATGATGTGATTCCAATTTCCAAACGTTTGTTAAATATAGAATGCAGACTTTTATGACATGTCCTGTATATTATTCTTTCAGTTTAACTACTCTCTTAAATTTATTTATTTAAATATCTATTTAAAATGAACAAAAATAAAATTGCAGGGATAAAATTTAATTTGAGACCAATACAGAAGAAAATAATAAAAACTATGGATCATAAGTTTAATGCTGAATCTCAAATTAGCTCATCTTCAAGTCTAGAAGTAAGTAAAATCAATATATTTTTATTTATTATTGATTTGTCTATGTTTTAAATTTAATTAAATATTTATTTGTAAAGTTATTCTTTGTAGCTGTTTGTTTATCAATTATTATATTGCCCAATTTGATTTTGTTTACAGTAATAATTATGACATTTTCAATCAGTGGCGTAGAATTTTAATAAAGTAACCAAAAAACGGTTTTATTCAAAGAAAGTTATCTAATATATGGCCCATATCTAATCAAAAACTGTTTAGAATATTAATTAAATAATAAAGATATTCATTCACATTTTATTCGAAATATTTAATACTGAAAAAAATTAAAGAAATTATTTATATGGCAAAAAATAAAGAGAATGACATCACTAACTCTTATTAAAATATTATTCTTCTTAAATTATAAATAATTTTTTTGTCAAAATCCTTTAAAAATATGCCAAATATTATATAAATGCAATTTGCCATGGGGTAATGTGGTATCATTTTATTTAAAACGAAATTGTATAAACAATTCCTAAATGTTATATTTAAATTGATACATTTTTCATACCTATTATTTATTTTATTATAAATAAAAATGGTCGTATTTTTTATAAATTATAATCATGGGGAGGGGTAATTACCCCCAGGACCCCTCTCGTAAATCTGCCATTGAATTATTGAATATTTTATGATTTTAAACACTTTAGACATAAATAATTTTTCTAACAGCCCTGTGAAAGTCTAAATTTTAAATCTCTCATTCGTCATAGGATTGAAAAATATTTTCTGACTTAAATGGTAAGAGTATAAAATAAATTAAAAGGAAAATATTTATTTAAAAAAAATAACGAACATCATTTTGTAGTAAATTAAAAAAATATAAAAGCTAATTTCAATACCTTATTTTGGTACATCTCTGAGAAGTTATGTATTAAACATAACAATATTTAGACATCTAAATATATTATCTATATTACAGTAATCATTAATATTTTATCTACTAATGTGTTCACGAGCAGCAACTTTTTTGACATTGATAAATGTTAAAGATTATCATCATGAACTGTGACGAAGATTTCTCTTTTTAAATATGAAGAAAATTGTAAAATTTATAATTTGTATGACCACAGAATTAATTGAGGTAAATCAAAAGCATTTTGCACGAAAATGGTAAAAAATATTTGAGGTAAATGCGTAAAAAATAGAGAAAAAATTTAAATATCACAAGAAAAGTAACATATATTAAATGAAAATATACAAAAAATATTTAAGAATCTAAATACAAACTAATATCGTAAAACTGACTTAAATTGAGTGATTAATAAATTTTAAGAATTATTTTACAACTAATTATTTCTAAAATTATCACAGATAGGTAAAGGGAATATCTATCTTGTTTAAAAGAGTTTTGAAAGATACTTCAAATAATGTTTAAATATACTGGGTGTCTATTTAAAGTAATGGGTTTTTTTAATGTTCATAAATATTTCATTAACACCTTGTACTTACAATGTTTTTAATCAGTAAGTATTTGACTCTAAATTTATCTTATATAATCAATATAAAATAATAAAAAAATTGATATTTATTATTTCAGTTCACATATTTTTGAAAACACTTAAAAAAACAAAAGTTACAATACTTTACTTTGACTCAAAATTTCAATAAAATAAATAAAATACAGTGTGTTTAATTAACAAAAACAACTTTAATATGTATCACTTTAATTTTAACTCTTACTTGTGGCGTACACTAATAACACATTTTATAAACAACTACATAATAATTAATTAATATATTTTTTTTTTAGGATAATGAAATTGTCCACATTACTGTTCCTGACAGTTCCACACACTTAAGTGTCACCACCGTCCTTAATTATTGCAAGAGCAAAATTTTGACGCCGTATTTGAGGTTTTTGAGTTTCATGGGACTTCGATCCATCTTAAACAATCACGATGCTTGCATTTGTTGGAGAATCTTCAGTTCGATTTACATTCTTTTAGCCGTGGGATTCATGATCGTAGGTTAGATATAGAATGTTTAAAAATAAAATAATAATTTATTTCATAGAGCCTTTCAGTGAAACAATTTATTTTTAAAATAACCACAAAAGTAAAATCCAAATATACAACCAAATATTTATTTGATATAAAATTATTTTTAATTGCATATTTTCATAAATTAAGTCATTCTTTTTATTGCTTATAATTTTACGACAAAAAAAGTATTAAAAATCAATTGTAGTGTTGAGCGTGGGAGCCAATGTTTATTATACTTTTATCTTTTTAATAATTAGGTATCGACGTAAAATCAATTGGTGGTAATAAAATGTTTTTTAAACTCTTTAGAATTGCCTTGTCCAACAAGTTTTAATTGATCCTCCTAATTACCCAATCTAGTCGATTATTATTACAAAGTTTAAAATTTTTGTAATTAATGTTAAATTTTCAAAATCGGATGTATTTATTGAAGGGCCGACAAGTAATAGTAGTCTGAACACACACATTCAGTTTTGAACCAGGTTTAAACCCCGGTTTAAAACTCTCATACATTCGCCTTTTTGAACATCAATTATTTTTATTATCAAGAGCGGGTTGTACCATAGGCAGTTAAAATGAAATCTTAGTTTAAACCAGTGGTCGCCAACCTCTCAATGTGTTGAGTTACTTTGTTAATTTTGGAATAAACAGCGAGCTACCCACACCGAAGCCACGTAACGCAACGTAAATGAAATAATCCACAGTTACTTTATCATTATATGTATTTATTTTACTATTTAACTGGTAATACATAATACATCGGTACTAATAATAAACTAATAACAAAATAACTAATATTACTAGTACGTACTTGTTCATAGCTACATTTCTACCTACCAAACGAAGGTGTTTGAAAAATAAACACAAACTTTTATCCAGCCACAACGGCATGTCACGTAAGATTTAAAAATAGTTAATAACAACAACAAAAAAGTAACGCACTATCATGAACATAAACATTAAAAAATAGAAAAGCACGTTCAATGAGAAGGCTGACACTCAGACTCATCGATAATTTTTTTTAATGTTTGCAGTATAATTTGATACAGCCATTCGAATACAATTATCCAAATGTTCATCTGTAAGTCGATTGCGATATTTGTTCTTAATAAACTTCATATTGGAAAAAGAATATTCACCCAAATATGTTGAACTGAATAATGCTTTCACTTTCAAGGCAACACGGCATAGAACTGAATATTTATCTTTACTTACAATAGGCCAGATACATTTGGTACTTGAGACTAACGATTTTAAGGCTAAATCATTTTGAAACTCAATTACTTCCATTTCTGTTGCAGCGATGTCTTCGCCAAAGTTCTGCATAACACAAGTTGCAAACTGTTGAATATCAATTTCCATAAAGGGTGAAACAACAAACTGCGCTACTAAAGCGATTTCGTTGAAATCCTTAAAACGATTTTTGAAGTTATTCTTCAGGGTAGTAACTATTTCTACATGATATTTGCTATCATAGGGTTCTAATGGATTTTGAGATATTTTTTCTGAAAGAATACGAAATTGCTTGGCATCGCTGTTAATTAGGTTTTTTTAAATTAAAATCGTTGTGAGAGCTACCAGAATTGCCTCCGCGAGCTACCGGTAGCTCGCGATCGACAGGTTGGCGACCACTGGTTTAAACAATGAACCTTGTATAAGCATCGATTATAATTAAACATAGTTTTAGAAATAAAATGATATTTGTATTTTGAATTTGACCAGTTTAAAATTACACTTATGTCTTCCAAACTGAGTTTACACCCACTTTAAGATGTCTTAACTCTACAATGTGTTTTAGGTATCTTATTGCTTCTATTATAGTTTTAAGCAGTTCAGTGAATTTTAAGTGATGAAAGAACAAAATCAAGTTAAATCGAAAAATATATTACGGTTAGAAATGTAGTACTTTTGAACCAATAACAGTAACCATTTTAGTAATACCTGTTGTTCGTTCATTAACCCTTCACTAACCAGACTTATCCCATAATTCACACCCAAGCTCTTTTTTAATAATTTTTTTAAGATCATTCCATTACCCATTTCTTCAGCAAAAAAAAGTATGATATTTTTTTTTTAGGTTATCTTTTGCAATACATGTCCTGTTTTAGACGAGAACGAGGGTTTTGCTACATGTATTTGAGCAACAACAAAACTCTTAGAGCTCAGTACGAGTCCATTTTTTATGAAACATGCGAAGCTTCGGTAGTATTCAGTTTTATTCTACCGAGTTTGTTACATTTGCTGGCCTATCTGCATTTAGTTTTCGTTTATCGAAACAATGATGATGAACAACTGCCTATTCTCATGGAAAGAGTGAGATTTTTTTCCTATTTTAGAATATTTTTTAGCAAATACAATTTTATAAATAATTTATTCAAAACAAATTAATTTTTTTAGGTATTTTTGGCATCAACATCTATTTCAAATGGATTTATAAGTCAAAGGAAATTAGTAAGAACCCTTAGATTGTTTTTCATTAGTAGCTTAATTTGGTTGAGCTTATCGTTTACAGTGGTAAACTATATGATGGCACATGGAGATGTTTATTTCAAATGGATTAAACATGGGTAAAAATCATATTTATTCTTAATAGTAATATTATGGGGTATTATATCCGTATTCACAAAGTATTTTTATATAGTTATCTACATGTAAATTCTTAAAAATAGAAACATCAACGGGAATTCGGAGAGAAGTAGATATAGTCGAGCAATTGTATAATTTTTCAATTACAATTTAAACGTGTCAAATAAATTAGACATAAATTCAACAAATAAATTAGTTTATGTTTCCACTAATAAAATACGAGGTTGATCCCTTTGCGCCACCCCTGGCGTAGTTATACTTACAGTCTGTTTTCGGATTAAAAATTTTATGAGTATTTCCAGGTAAGTACCCGAAAGTTTGACATGTTCTTTGGGGAAATATCAACTGGTTAAATGAAATGAAAAATAATGTACAACTTTTTAATTAAATAATAATGGAAAATCTTTTGTATAATTGAGAGAAAAATTAAACCTCTTCATTAATGGAGTCTAATGTGGCTATTATAAATCTAATAATAATTTTATTTTACACTTCACACAGAAAATATGGTCGATGTATAATAAGAGGGTTATTTAGCTCAAATAAAATATTTTCTAACATAAAAATTTGTTCTATGTCGAGAATGGCAAATGAAAAATAAAAAAATTGAACTTGCCAACAAAAATGAAAATCAGTCATTATCATCCAAAATATCACAATCGTCGTCATCATCATAACTGTCATCACCATTAATTGTTATTATGATTAGACTTATTTCGTTTATTTTATTTTCACGAGTCCACCAATCTTCTATTAGTTTCTCGCACTTGGATATACAGTTCCGCCACACTTCTGGAGTTGCAATTGAAAGTGCTTTTCGCCAAGTTTCTCGAACTGCGTCGTCACTGTAACCATTAGACCCAATATGGTTGTCATAATATTGTTTTGCTATTCCCCATATATATTCGATGAGATTAAACTGGCAATGATACGGTGGCAGACGTAAAACTTGATGACCGTAACTTTCAATAATCTGATCCACAACAAAGGTTTTTGGTTTTGCGTGTATATTTGCCAAGCGTAATAATTCTGATTTTAATATATATTGAGGAAATGGTATATGTTCATTTATCAACCATTCTTTAATTTTATCAACAGTCCAAGAATTCGTTGGACTTTTGTTTAATACTTCAGAATGGTAAGGTGCATTGTCTAAAATAATTACGCTGGGCTCACTTAAACCTAGGAGAAGTTTTTCATGCAACTATTTTACAAACATTTCTGTGTTCATATTATTATCGTGATATTCACTGGATTTTGATTTAGATGAAAATATTAAATCAGCACCTTCTATGAAACCCGATATCCCTCCTGCATGTAAAATTATATGTCGCTTCCCTTCTCCATCGGTATGTTTGATGGACTTTACGTTATCATCTTGCCATATTCTCTTGGTTGCACCCCTAGAAAATATCCATGTTTCGTCTAAATATATAAAATTCGTCCCTTCTTCTTTAAATTTAAAATATTTCCTTAGAAAGTTAATTCTCTTGTGCACGACAGAACTTCTTTCACAAAGGGTCTTTCTGTTATCCTCCTTTTGAAATTTGAAACCCAAGTTATGTATCACTTGCCATAAACTTGTTCTGCCAATGTCGTCAAATTTTCTATCTATTAATTCCGAGAGAATTGTATTTAAGGTCACATGTTCCTTGTTGGCTCTCATTCGATAAATTTCAAATTTCTTTCGATCCGGAATATCTTTCGTTCTCCATGATGGGCGAGTTTTGCGGTGATCTTCTTTCGGCAGTTCACTATTGTGATTTTGTAATACTCCTCTTAATTTGGTTTCACTAATTCCTAGAGCATCGCATACGCGTTGTTGTACAGACATTACCGATTTTAAAGGACCGCCATTTTCTTTTTCATCCGTAAAATACTTATGTACATTACAAATTAGACTATCTACATCCAACACACGTGTAGACATTTTTAAAATTTCCACTAAATTTACAATATACATACAATGTCAACACTTGCAAAGAATCAATTCAACTGCAATATTTGTAACAAATTTAGTACCTACCCTAATGTTATTTTAATTTAAATCTGACCATTAGGGCAATTTTACCTAATTTCTTGGGAAGAGGCTTAACGGAACTGGTTGTCAATGACTAATTTGCATAATTTTGTTAATCCGAAACCCGCGTAAGTATAGCGAACAGACTGTATGTGTCTATTTATGTCCATTACTCCGAATACCGATAGAACATTATACCTTAAAGCTTACTTTTTAACCGCGATATTTTTAGGGTGAATGTAATATGTTAAGCAAAAAAAGTGTGATACTTTTACTGTACGATACCCGTCAACTTTTATTTAATAAAAAATACTCATGTTTAAAAAAAATGAACAATTAATGCATTACAGAAACTAAAAAACTTTTCTAGCAATAGAAAAACGTAAAACATAATATTTTTCTAAAATACTGAAACGTCAAAGTAAAATGTCAATGAACATAAACAGTTTTGAATTTTGATTAAAAACGTTTTATAATTTGTACTACAAATTTTAGACACTAGAAATTTAAATAATAAAATAATTATAATTATCAGAGGCCATCGTACTGCCCTATAATAGTACCAGTGCTTCTAATGATCTACATAGTTATTGTATTTTTTCAGTTCACTCGAACTTACACTGTTCCTAAAAATAGTGCTAGTAGCTAGTACTCTATGGCACGATCTAATACAGTGTACCATAATTTCAAATTACTGTTTACAAGCTCAATTGCTGAGGTCGTATGTGAAATTTACAAGGGAAAGATTACTTCAATACCCTGTACCGCCGTTGGAGTGGATGAGAGCAAGTATCAATTTTTAAACAGAAATTTTTGCATCAATTATTTAGGTCAACAGTTGTACATAGTGTTAGTTAATAGTAGTGTAAAATTAATTGATTCCTGTGATTGAGAGAAACAAATTTATGTAGAAATCTTTAATTTGCTTTTTTTTATTTATTTCTACACTTTGTTAAATTAGAGACAATTTTTACTGACCGAAGATTTAGGATTAAAAACTTTTTTTTAAAGTTCAATAGATTTTAATACTATAGATAATGAAATAACACTGCAAAGTGTGTAGAAGATATAACTAAATCAATCGAATACAAGTTTCTATAAATCAGCTACCACATTTTTAAATGGAACTAATTTAAATTTAAATCATTCAGGACTCAAATCCTTTGATTTTATTTTTTATAACAATATTTTTGTCTTTCTTTATGGAGAAAATTAAATACAAGCACTAGATTTCTATATAATATCTAAATCTTCATGGGTTAGATCACTTTTTTAGCACATACATTGCAGGCAATTTTTGGTTTAAATGCTATTTTTTCTTTCGACTTATGCAGATATACCTATCATCTTTGATATACCTAGTGCTTTCTAGCTATCAAATACGACAAATAAATAAAATAAATACATATTGTTTTTTATATTACCAACTCATTAATAAGAGAATATTTAAAAAAAATTCTTTAAATTAGATACTTCTATGTACTGATATAAATACATTTTTTCAGGATATAGAAGACTTCAAAAAATTGCTTCATTATTTTAACAAAAGAATTTCACCATCCGTTTGCTTACTGACCGTTACGGATTTAGCGTTCGCCTTATCTGGAACGCTTTGGATATTCCGCTACGACCTTATTGACAAAGAGACTTTACCGATTTTAGGATTCAGCGTCCTAAATATTTTATTGTGGGCCTTTATGGCCCTAGCGCCTTTCATACAGGTAAGTAATCATTATATCTATTATATCCAAAAGCAGATATCTTAGCAATCAGTTATCATCTCAGAACTGTCACCAAAACTTATAATGAATTCATCAACGTTGTCTGATATGTGCAACGCAATTACGCCAAGATAATAATCCTGAAAGGATAAATAAAAGGACAACACATCTGATTCGAGCTGGATGGCATAGAAATAGTACCGCAGAAGTTGATAAAATACTTAAAGATCTATCTAGATACCCAAAAGACTTTGCGGAAAGCAGAAGATAAACTCGACCTGCTGTCGAGACTACTGCAAAACATTGGAGGCCCAAGCTCTTAAATAAGGGTAATGCTTAGTAATCCCATATAATCAGTAATTCTGTATGCCTCCTCCATCTGATATTAAGCATTAAGAATTAAAAAATACAAATAGTTTCTGGAAAGTACCAAGAGGAAGGTCTTATTAAGGGTGATTTCGGGATATACAACAACCTCACTAAGAGCTATATATCTGGCCTCATACCAATACGGCGTAGTGGACAAAACGTCTTCTACCAGACGTAATAGAATGAGTCAAAAACCTAAGTACAGACGCATCGATTCATTTAAGTGGTTTACTTTTAAAATAGCTAATAGCAAAGAAAATAGATGTCGGTATTGTGCTGATGAAATTGACACTCCAGAGCACAACATTTTTATTTGCGCCAAGTTAGAAAATTTTCGAAAAAAACAATTATGAAGCAAAAAAAGAAAGAAAAAGACAGGAAAACGTTGAACAAGCTAGTAATTTTTTTGTTTTAAGTAAAAAAATTATTAATATTCCCAGTTAGATATCTATAACATTGATGGTTTTAATTTTTGTTATTTATGAAAACTTTTCTCACCGTTCTTTTTTTAATATTTTGTTTTCAGGCTGCCAGATTGTCAAATTCCTGTGAAGTCCTGAAATTGGTCGGACAAGAGTCCCGAGCCCGTCCTTACGTCCATCAAGACACTCCAACGATAGAACTAGATTCTATTTTACTTTACACAACTAGCTTGAAAATAAATGCTCAACTTTTTTACTTACCTATCACGGGTAGAACGTTATTTTTTTGTATTACCGTAAGCGCAGTCGTCATCCTGACGCTGGGTCAATGTCATTATCTTTTAACAAAGTAGTGTTGATGCATTAAAATTGTTAATTATTTCTATTGTTTTCTTAAACCTCATCCAATTTGTGAAATTGTATTAACTTAACAATTTCTATGTCAAATTTGGAAACATCCACTCATGCTACATACTAAACTAAGGCTGAATGCGTACTACGCCGATTGCAGCAATAGAGGTATTATTAAATCTCACGCCACTGCACATCTTCATGCAAGGAGAAACCAGGTCAGCTGTTCACAGGATAATGCAGGGACAAATACCCAATAAGCCAACTACATAGCGTCGACCACACAAAGGCTATATCAGCAAGTAAAAAGGGATAATATTCCAATTATTCCTACTGATAGAGCTATAACCACATACAAATACCAACCCGAGAATCCTGGAAACAGGGACTTCTCGTACAGGCTGAACTTGTCTGGTACGCAGACGATTCAAAAATCAAGGAAGGAGCCGGTGCTGAAATCTATGGACCCAAGTCGAAAACAACGATTTCGCTGAGTTTAGGAAAATATGCAACAGTGTTCAAGGGTTGAGCTAATAGCCATACAACACTGTACAACAGAAATACTAAATCAGCAACTATCAGGCAAAACTATTGCTCTAAAGGCAATTCTCTCACCAGAAATCAAATCACGACTGGTGAAGGACTGTCTGGAAGACTTAGCAAAGTTAAGTAGTCAAAACAAGGTGACCCTAGCCTGGGTTCCAAGCCTTGAGGGATATCCGGGCAACGTAAAGGCCGACGAATTAGTCCAAGAAGGTCCATTAAAACAAATCTATTACAATAACAGATATAGTTGAAGACGCCAATAGAAGATCACTTGGATATTAATACATTGCAGTCGAAGTTGTGCACTTTGAGACGTTGCCAAATAATTGACATACTTTATATTATCAATTTAATACTATAATTTATTTAAAGGGTATAGATTTTTGTTAGAATTCAACCATAGTTTAGTTGTAATTTTTCATATTTGCTGATAAATAATGATTTAAAAAAGTTTTCTATATGGTTCCAACTTACTTTGTTTATAATTTAATAAAAAAAAATTATAATTTATAATTCAACAAATTATAAACTTGATTATGATATAACTTTGTTTGGTTCACTCTGTTCTACAGGTAATAATAATAAAAATAATTATAAAATATAGTTTTCCCACTCAATATTAAAATTTAATAATGTATCAGTTAATATATCCTGAAAACGTATAAAAACGGTTTTCAATTAAGCAAGACCATTTAAATAAAACATGAAGATTGCTATAGTATTCTTTATCTTAAGTTTCCTTGCTGTCACGTTCGCAGAGCATCACACTCGCCAAAGTCATAATGAAAAAAAAGATGTAAGTACCCACTTTGGTGTTAGCTTTCCTCTTAATTAAAGCCGTCACAAAAAAATTGAGAGTTTACTAAGTATTTCAACCCTAAATTGAAGTTTTCCAATAAGTAATGATACTTTAGTTTCATTATTTGCAAGCAAGATTTTTCTTATGATTTTATTGGTTTCGGTACATTCTTTTTTGACATCTTCGCTTAGTTGTTCACCTTCTGCTTCTCATTGGTCGGTTTATGATTTAAAGAATCCAGTAAATTGTATCCTTCTTGTTAATCTAGACCAACCATTTGTAATTTTGTAGAAACTTTATTAAAGCTATCCAGAACTTTTTTCAAATTACACATAGCATATTCTAGATTAATTATCTCTCTGCAATCCTTCTCCTCCTCTGTTACTGTGTGTATTTGCTATAGTTTAAAAATATCATCGTATTCAATTTTTATACTTAAAGATTTCAAGGCATAATTATTTTTTGCGATAGCTGCTACTATATCTATAGGGTGATACAAAAAAAAAAAACAATAACAATTTAAATACCACAGTAAAAAGGTGTAGTCACAGTTAATATCCATTAAAACTAAAATCATTAACTGCAAATAAATAGTTTACTAACAGTAAGTCGTCTTAAAACGGAAATTAAATCGGTCACTTACCATAGGTGACTAATTTAAAAAATCTTGCTTTACCTACCATAAGTAAACATTTTACTTGTCCCAGTAGTATAAAACTTTTTATTTGCAGTGACATTAAAAAAACGCAAATTTTGATATATATCACGCCTTTTCTCTTTTTGACTTTAAACAATCTTATGAATTCTACAACAAGTAAGATTTCAAATTTTGGCAAGATTACTATCTTTGTTGAATTACGTAATGTTCCGTATATATATTTTTAGATTATATGTATATATTATTTTGAATCGTACTACGTCAGGTTTGGCATAAGGTATATATCTTATTGGAAGTTAAGAAATAATTTAGTTTTGTGTTTACATAGTTTTAGATTTGGTAGTTTTATTAAAACAGTTTTCCAATACACTTCTGACTTGTGATTTAGGCAGTACCACTTAGACAGTACTCAATCGGTGCTCTCCCACTTCCGGTGCAATAGGCCATCGTGAAGATATATAATCCAACTGAGTCCAGTACCCTTTAATGGTTCCACTATATGGTTATCTTTTGTCTAGTAGGTATGACTCCATTTCTGACCCATTCTCGTACAAGCTTCAAATTATTGTCTTTCTTTTGAGTCTTTCTCAGGCTTTCAAGAGTGATTCTGTCTTTGTCATCCTCTGGCTTGATAGAGGTGGTCTGAAGACTAACTTTTTCAACCGGTTCCTCCAGATCTTCAATCCGTTTACAAACAGGGTTGCCTGGAAAAAATATTTGCATTGCCATGGAGACGATCTCTTCGATGTACTACTTCCTGAATATTTCTGGAAAGCCGGCTAGGTGTGGTGGGTGTCCGGCTTTTCTAAGAGGCATATCTGCTGTAATTATTTCTTGTTGGACTTCGCAACGGGCTTCTGGAGATAATTTCTGTTCTCAATCACCGATTCTATATTTATAGAACAAACCTTGTTTCTACATGTTCTTCGACAATTGAAGCAGCATCTTTTGTTTTTATTTTGGTTGTTTCGCTGTATCTTGCAGGATGTTTAAGATTTGTGAAGGAGTATGTTGGGGAATAGAATTAGTATTGGCCTCTTCACCTTCTTGAAATCTAATTTCTCTTAATTTTGCGCCGCGAGATGGTCTAGATATGAGTTGCGCTGCTTCATAATTCCTAGGCTGCAATTAGTTTCTCCTTCAGCGTCTTGTGGTGTTGTACATTTCCACATCTTGTAGTCCATCAACACATGCATGTATTTCGAGTTGTTCTTGGACATTTTTGAGCGCCTGTAGATGGACAAGATGAAGCATCTTTTTATATCAGCCTCGAATTCCTGTAGACTCTCATTATGTTTCTTACTACGAACTTTTAGCTAGTTTTGGAATACCCATTTCAAATGCTGCTGGTCACACCTGGTCTCCAAGGCTTGAACGAAAGAGGAATAACTGGATTCCCCTTAGAAAAGTAATTGTAAAACGGTTGCTGCTATTCTTCTTCTTCTTCCTTCCTGCGCCTTTCTTTTTCATTGTCTTCCTCTTTCCTGCACCTTTCCTTTTCCTCTTCTTCATCCTTCCTGAGCCTTTCCATTTTCTCTTCTCGCCTTTCTCTCTCCTCTTCGTTCTTCGCTATTTCCTTTTCTTTTGTTCCTTCTCCTTCTTGCGCCTTTCCTTTTCCTCTTCTTGCCTTTTTCTCTCCTCTTCCATCTTTAATGAAACCACCATATCTTTCTCGGCCCAGCCATTGGCTTTGGCTGCAGCCTCAAATTGGAGCCGATACGTTTTCCATGTTGTCTGACCGTCAAACATGGGTGGCTTAATGATCTTGCTATCTTCAAAAACCATGCTGGTGGGCCGGAAGCATCCATATCTGTTTCGTATTTACCATAAATAAAATGCTTGGGTAATTTTATTTTATATCCCACCGCTGTCACCAATGTTACACTGGGTTTTGGTAACTATATTCTTCACTTGGTTAATTTAATATCATTAATGGATATAGTACTATCATCTTATTGTTCTTTCCGTAGTCTGGACATAGACTCGGCAATATACAGGTGGGCGTAGAAAAAAATATTTTTATAGGCCGTCAATATTTAACCGGCTGTTAAAATGTAAAGGAATGCTTACGGAATAGACTACTTTGTTAAAATTGAAATGTTTAATCGACTACTTATATTTTCAGAGGGGCCTTTTTGTAGTTGATGATGGAATAGACAGCTCGGACAGCAGCTCCAGCAGCGATAGCGAATATGATCCATATTATCATTACAAACATAGACACCCACGTCACCGCTACGTTCACCACCATCACCATTATTGGTAATGAGAAATGCATGTCCAATGTATGGAGTTAAATAAACATTATTATTAAATTTAACATTATAATTATATAACTCATCGTTTTATGTAATAAAATATTAATAATATTAGAACTTTCGTTATTATTGTGTAAAACAATTAGAGTTGATAAATATTTACCAATCATCATAACTAATATGGATACGAAGTAAGTTTAATAATAGCAATGTCTTTCAAGATCAATTGATAGAGCGAAAAGGATCAATTGAATTGCCACATAGATAATAATAATAGTAAAAAAAAAATAACAATACAAAATTACTTGACTTTTTTGATATGATTGGATAGACAATTAAAAGTCTAACCTACATTTTTCTTAAAAATCATTGATGACATTCGCGGTCATGTCATATAAAAAATATACTTACAAATAGGCATTCCAAACAAATGAATTACCAGTGGGCAGGTTTGGTATATCTAAGGGTGGCGACATATGGTATATTCTATCTACTTTACGTAAAATCATGAATAATGGATTACATTTAAATATTTTATGTCAAACACAATAAAAATAATATTTAAAAAACCCACCTATACATTTTTTCATAAATTGGCAGGCTTGGCGAGTACTACTTCGAATAAAAATAGTGTCCAAGTTGCAAGACTATGTCGCTACTCTCTTAAATATACAAGAATTTCCCACTGGCACCTATTTTTTGACAGGTCGTTGGAATGCCTAATTTAAAAATAAATATACCCATAGATACAAGATATAGTAGTATTAAT